CTCTGACGCCTGCGCAGCATCTCGTGACGTCATCACTTGTGCCCTGGCCCTAGACTGCGCATTCCCGGAAGTCCTCGCCTATTTTTCTCTTCTGCAGGTAGGCCAAAAGGGTACTATTATGTTCTATAGTGCAGTCTGAAAGCATCCCTGAAGAGTTGTGACATTCCCCATTCCCCCTGGGAAGAAGCTGCTCGCGACCGCACAGTTTGGCGCTCCTTAATAAGATCGGGTGAGGCGAAATTCGAAGAAAGTCGCGTCAGAAAGAAAGAATGGAGACGGCAGCTGAGAAAAGACCAAGAGAGCCCTACCTTCCAGCCTAATTCTGCCCCAAACATCCCCTGCCCCCCCCCCCCCACTACAACAGACATTTCCGTGCGAAGATCGGCCTGATCAGCCATCTCCGCACACACCCCACCCCTCCAGTGATGTGAAGTCAAGGTCATCTTCGCCAGCGAAGGACGAACATCAGTGCGGTCATAAATTAGTGGCGCAACTTATCTTCAAATATCTCTTTTACGTGGGAATCAATGTCATCCACACTGAGCAAAGCAGTTTGTATCAATTTGTCTTAACTTGATTATATTTTTCTACAACAACTGAGGTTTAGAATAAAGATCTAGATAAAAAAATATTTTCTTCTTAAATTTATATAACATTCCGTCACGCGGAAAATGGTAGTGTTCACAGCACTTCCCGTTTTCACACATATTTTGCATACGTATATGGCCTACGTCACAGCTCACCAATGACACTTTTAAGTGGCAAAACTTTTTACAAGAAATCAATTTCATAATGAACACTCTTTTTTTTCTTTTTTTTTGCACTAAAGGTTCTCAAGCTCAAACCATGCGTTCAATAAGCATAATGGTCGCGATAAGAAAAAAAAATGTCGGACTTGCTTACAAAAGCGATATTGCCCCAGCTGTAAACCTTTTAAAATCTGAAAAAAAAACACCCTCTTGGATTTTTTATAAGTATTTATACAGGAATTTTCTAGAATACATGTATAATAATATTATAATTAATAAGCGTTTACAAAAAATATTGATCGGTTATGAGAAATTGATACAAGTCAAAGGGCAAAAGTTGGTGAGTCTGTGTTCAACAGTTGAGGAAATATTGGACAATAAGCTGCGCTATGAATGTTTGACCGCACTACTATAAAGTATCTGGGGGAGGCTAATCACAGAAAACGCAGCAAGTTTGGTAAAAGTCCAGTTCAGACCTCCACTGGCATTTGGACCTTGCTTGACATCCAGGGTCTTCACAATCAGTGGCGCCAACATTAGGGTGACCATGACGAAAGACAATGTTAACTCATTTTAAGCATGTTTACAAAAAATTATTTATTTATTTATTTATTTATTTATTTATTTATTTATTTATTTATTTATTTATTTATTTGTTTATTTATTTATTTATTTTTAAATTTATTTATTTATTTAAGTATTTATTTATTTTGTAAAAATGTTATTATTGCTATAATTATATTTTTCTTTCTTTCTTTCTTTCTTTATTTTCTTAGAAAGGGGGAGGGGGGGGGGTTAGAACTAGTCTTTTACCATGCAAGCAGTGAAAGATGGAGACTTGTTCATGGGGTGATGTGGCTAAACTAGACATATAATGACATTATCTGATTGACGGCGTTGTCTCTGGCTCACAATTTTTCTCCACTCTGGAGGTATACCTGTGTGGTCGGTCACCCACGACTTGCTGGTAGCTTCTCACACTCACCACACTCCCTCTTTGCTTCCCATCCCCCCACCCCCTCTCTCTTTCCCTCTCTCTCTCTCTCTCTCTCTCTCTCTCTCTCTCTCTCTCTCTCTCTCTCTCTCTCTCTCTCTCTCTCTCTCTCTCTCTATTATATAAAAATATATATAAAAATATATAAATAGGGAAGTGAAAGGTGTATTAAAGTACGCAGGGGCAAAGGAAGACTGTCTTTACCAATGTACAAAACCGAGTGCCTATTTAAGCATTGGATTTGCGCCTTCACAATACCATCCACCAACTGCCTGAGTTATACGGTCCTTATTTAACTAATGTAAATTTGCCCCGCCATACCACCAGATGTACACACTGCAAACGGAGCAGAAAACCCACTGGTTGGCTACTTGATAATCTTTTCCCACGAGAAAGAAACAGAGGTAGACAGAAAGAAGACTCTCCGCGCTTAATATAATATGTGCATGTACATGTATATCAGCAACAACAACAAAAAACACTTTTGAAATACAAATTGAACAGCAGAATCATAA